GTTATATGAATTGTTGAATGTGAAACTGATGATGTGCCCTGTAAACTTTCACTCAATCCCCAATAAAAACCTTAAATTAAAAAAGAAAGAAAGAAAGAAAAGAAAGTCCTGGCAATGTACTTCCTAAAAACCAGCCACTGAAAATCCTATGGGGCACAGTCTGACTTTGACACACCTGGGGTAATGGTGAGATGGAAAAATCTTGATGGCAACTGGCTCAATACCCAGACAGCAGATGGTAAAACTGGGTAGCATGTGTCCTGGATGTGAAAGTCAGGGTGGGAGGGATGTCTGAAAATGGCTTTGGAGTTAGCTAGATTCAGAGTACAGTATGGGCTGTCTCTGGTCCTGCTGAGTTTCTGAGAAAGGATTCTTCAGGCAGCAACACTGGCCCTCCCCCACTGCCCCCAAAGCATCAGAATCACTTGGAAAGCCTGCTCCAAACCTAAATTCTTGGCATTGCCTCCCTAAACCTCAGACCTGCTAAATGGCATCTTTGGAATGAGCTGGTGAATTTGTGGTGCTGGAGGATAATGCATAGTAAGGTCAGTTGGAACCTCAAGCTCGGCAGTTCAAACTCACCAGCTACTCCTCGGAAATCCTATACAGGGCTGCTATGAGTCGGAGTCAACCCGATGGCACTCAACAAGAATAACATATATATATTTAAACAATCTCCACCAGGTAATGCAGCCCAGAGGATGGAGCCAAGAACCCAGGGTGAGCCCACTGGAGAGGACCCAATGAAAGGCTGTTGGGAGGAAGTTGTGCGACTGGAGAGGCACAAAGCATACACCCACAAGAGGCACTTGAATGTTGAGCAAAGGGAGGGAGAAGAAATCTGGTTGGGTTATCTGGCTTCAAAATTCTAGTATGGCTCTAGATGAATTGCGGCATCTGTGACTCCATCCAGGGGCTCCAGCTCAGTTCAAGGGAATTTGACTCAAGTGGTCTTGGCCCCTTTAAAGCCCAGCCTCTGTAGCATGGTGGCAGAGGGAAGGAATTAGCTGGTTCAGAGGAAACTAGCCTCCCACAGACTCAGCAGGGATTGGTCTCTTTTGCGCTGGGCCATTTGATTTTGAAGTTCCGCAGAGCTCTGTCCAAGGTCTCCACTTTTTTTCTGAACTCTTTCTCCCAGTTAATCTCGCCTCTTCCCAAAGCTACAAACACTATTTACATGCTGATGGTGCCCACATTTACATCTCTAACCCAGAGCCCTACCCCCACCCCAAACTCCAGACTAGTTTTACTAATTGCTTGCTGCCAGGAATCTCCTGAGGCAATCTGATATTTAAGCATTTCCAAAGCTGAACTCACCCCCAAATGGTTTCTCTTCCAGTAATTCCTAATTCAGTTAATAACATCACTACCTACTAAGTCGATCAAAACTAGAAATCCAGGGGTCATTTTAAGCTTCTTCCTTACCTTCAACTTTCAGACCACACAATTGTTCTTAGCTGCCATTGACCACATACTTTATTGTTGTTATGTTATTAGGTTCTTCTGAGTTAGTTCTACTCAAAGTAATCCAAAGTATGATAGAATGAAATATATCCTGGTTCTGCATCGTCCGCACACTGGTTGCTTTATTTAAGCCCATTGTTGCAACCACTGTGTCAATTCATCTTGTTGAGGATCTTCTTCTTTTTTGCTGACCTAGTTTACCAAGGATGACGTCCTTCTCTAGGATTTGATCCCTTCTGATAACATGTCTTGAGCATCGCTTATATATGAAGTGATTAAAAATACCATGACTTGAGTCAGATGCAACTTGGTCTTCAAAAGATGTGTTTTCCACTCACAGACTAACTCACATCACAATCCCTTAATTCTTTTCCATCCCTACTGTTTCAAGTACTCTCATTTCCTGTCTCAACTACAATAGCCTTTTAGCAAGAAAACATGGCCTCATTTCTAGTGGCCTTTAGTAGAGGGCAACCTCCAAAATTCTCACTAGAGTCATACCTCTAAAATACATATCTAACAAGCTGTTTAAAATCAGGAAAGGTGTGCGCCAGGGTTGTATTATTTCATTATACTTGTTCAATCTGTACGCTGAGCAAATAATCAGAGAAGCTGGATTACATGAAGAATGTGGCATCAGGATTGGAGGAAGACTCATTAACAACCTGTGATATACAGATGACACAACCTGGCTTGCTGAAAGCCAAGACGACTTAAAATACTTACTGATGAAGATCAAAGACCTTTGGTGTGGCTTGCACCTCAATGTAAAGAAAACAAAAATCCTCACAACTGGACCAATAAATAACATCATGATAAAGAGAGAAAAGATTGAAGTCAAAGACTTCATTCTTCTTGGATCCTCCATCAACACTCATGGAAGCAGCAGTCAAGAAATCAAAGGACGGATATTGCATTAAGCAAATCTGCTGCACAAGGTCTCTTCAAAGTGTTCAAGAGCAAAGATGTCAGTTTGAGGACTAAGATGCACCTGACCCAAGCCATGGCATTTTCGATAATCTCATATGCGTGTGAAAGTTGGACAGTGAATAAGAAGGCTGTACAAGAATTGATGCATTTGAGTAATGGTGCTGGAGAAAAATATTAAAAGTACCATGGACTGCCAGAAGAACAAACAAATCTGTGTTGGAAGAAGTACAGCCAGAAGGCTCCTTAGAAGCCAAGGTCAGACTTTGCTCTTATACATCAACATATTATCAGGAGGGACCAGTCTCTATATAAACACATCATGCTTGGTATAGTGGAGGGTCAGCATAAAAGAGGGAGGCCCACACAGGGAGATAGGTTGGCACAGTGGCTGCAGCTATGGGCTCAAGCCTAACAATGGGATTATGAAGTTGACCCAGGATCCAACAGTGTTTCTTTCTGTTGCGCATAAAGTTGATGAGTTATGGCACCTAACAACTAACAAATTGTTGACTACGGCATAAATATCACAGTCAACAGACTGCATACATGGCAGGCATTACAGACTGCTTCAAAAAGAGCCCTATTCATGTTTGCCTTTTCCCAACCTCCCAAAGTCTTTTTTAACTAGTTGTGAAATCTTTGCTTAAAAAAAAAAAAAAAAAAAAAAGCTATTCATGGTAGAAAAGAAAGCACACTCAAATATAAAATAGGAGGCCAGAAGGGGAATAATTGTATATCCTAAGTCTTTCTCCTGGATCCTGATTCTGAAGGTTTCATGTATGTGTGTGTGTGTGTGTGTGTTTTAGGTGATTCAGAGGGAAATCCAGGTTTGCCATCCACACAGTATGCCCAATAGCACCTGTGACATACTGCATGTCTGACATACTGCATTGAAGAATTCGGGCTACTCAGTTCTTTACTAGCTTATTGTAGAGAAATGTAGAAAGGGTTCGTACAACCAGTCTTCAAGGCTGCATCACTGGGTAATCGCCAAGCAGGAATTTTTAAAATGAAAGAGCATCTTCATAGATTGAAAACCTGAAGCCAGCTAAGACAAAGTTCAGTTACCAAAAACATTTGATTTTTTTAAAAAAAGGAAAATGCTGAACCACTTTAAAAAGTTTGGTTGCCATTGCGCTCCACTTCTTAATTTTAAGGATGCCCTAGAGATTTAGTAACAAAGGATTTTGCTTTTTTCTAAGCAGCAGTTCATTAGAAAGTTGAAAAACGGAGAAAAGTTATTTCCCAAGGTGAAGTTCTCTCGTCGACGTTGATTCAAACAAATCCAGTACTACTTGTTTATTTCGACGTGTGAATAGCAGTACACTTACAGAACCTTCATCTTTGACTTCCTACCTAGTAAATTTAATGTTTAAGAAACTTTAGTTTCTTGAACTTGAAAAATTTATTTGCAATTTTTTCACTAAGCCTCCCGTTAACTCCGGAGCTAAGCTAAACAATAGGGGAGATATGATTGAAGTCACCATTAATCAAGCACGCCGTTCGCGTTTTAAAATCTTTAACTGTCGCCGAGGCGGCTTTCCCTCTGTTTCTACGCTCTGAAATCCTGTTTTCTCATTGTCTCATGGTACAATACGATGGGAGCGCTCCGGGAGCAGGTACAGGACCACGCAGACTGAAACACGCTGGCGCCCAGCAATGTTGTGGAAACCATTCCCGGCACTTCTAGTGGGTCGTGGAAAGGGAGGTGGCCTGGGCGCGAAAGGCCCGTCCGGGCACTCCGACTGCTGCCAATTCAACTCGCAACTTTTGAAATCCATCCTTTTTGCATCAGGCAACGGATGCCACCTCTCCTGGAGTTTGCAACCCCCCACCCCTCCCCCGAGACCAATCATTGCCGCGCTCCGGCCTGCACATCGCCCCCGCCCCTTTCCCTGGCCGCACGCAGCCACCGAGTCGCTCTAGCTGCAGCCCGCCACCTCTTAAAGGGAGGTAGCCAGCCCTTAAAGGACCCTCGTGCGTCGTGCACGGCGTGAGCGGGGTGGCCCCGGTTCCCGCGAGGGTCCGCGGAGTGAGGCCGAGAACCGCGGCGCCCAGGCGCGGGCCCGGGGTTCTCCCGCCCTCCGCGCCGCCGCCGCCGCCGGGAGCAGCATTTTTATTCAGGCGACGCTTAAGGGAGCCCCGGCCGCGCCCGGTGCATTGTGGGAACGGCCGGGAGTCCCGTTTTCGGGAGGAGGAGGAGGGCGAAAAGCGAACCGGTAAGCGCCTGGCTTGGGAGGGGGGGGGGCGACACCAGGCTTAAAGGGGAATATTCGCCCAGAAGTCCATTGCGGCCGTTGCAAATCCCCCTCCTTCCCACCCGGGACCGGCGGGGAGACGTGCATGGCCGGCCCTTTCCAGCCCTGGTTGGAGAGGGGGCAGAGCCAGGGTTTGGTGGGGCCGCTTTAAAAAAGAAGCACCGCCCGCGCCGCCGCTGCCGCCGCCCGCAACCGCTCGGAGCCGGGGAAGGAGGGAGGGAGCAGAGGGGGAGGAGTGGAGGGGGAGGGCGGCGGTGGCGGCGCAGGGGTTAATTTTTTCACCCGCCGACATTTTTGTTTGGCGGCGGCGGCCCGCGCGAGCGGCGGGAGAACATAGCCCGGTCCCTCGGGCGCGGCGCCTCCGAGCCCTCCCTGCCCCCACCACGCGCTGAGGTCTGCCGACGGGGTCCCTCCGGCCCGCGGGTGCTGGCTGACTTGGGACGCCTCGGCCGGCTGTGCCGCGATTCCACCACGCTCCCTCTCGCTGCGGCCAGTTGGCCGTGCGCGCCTTGCGCTCTTCCTGTGGAGTGGGCCGCGGTTCCCGCCGCCGGTGGCGGGCGAACATGGCCCTGCCAGCAGCGCCGCGCTGCTTGCGCCCGGCCGCGGCCAGCCCGAGGCGCCGCGCCGCACAAAGAGCGCTGCCCAGGCCTGATTTGCCTTTAAAGGCGGCAGCCTGAGATTTAAGGTGTCCCGGAGTTCCGTCCTCCGCGCTCTGGCTGCCTGTTCGACTTGTGCTTCATGGAGAGCGCCGGGCCCCTCCGCCCACGTCCGGGTGTCCACCCCATTGTTTATTTTCGGGGTGCGGGGGTAGGTAGGTATCGGGCTGTAGGGTGCACACTTTCCTACCACCACTCATAGTGCTCCCTGGCCGCCTATGCACCCTACTTTGCTCACTCATTTAAAAAAAAAAAAAAAGGAAACATGCCCGAGAAGGAAGGGGTTAAACATTATCTTTAAATATTCATGTCATTGTTTTAAAGTAGTAAACATGTGGCTTTAGAGTTGATTGTTGAGAAAATTTACCCCCCCTACCAATTAATTACTCATTTTCCCAAGTACTCCCTTGCCATCACCTTCAAAATTGTAAGGCGCTTTTTTTTTCTTTTTTAGGTCTGGTTCAGAGTCTCTGTATTTCTATTCTAGTTCCCCATGGAGATTTGAAACTCCTTCAGTGTGCCTTCTTGACTTAAGGTGCTTTATAAACTTTTTTTACTCATACAAATATGTGAAAATATGTTAAATTGAAAAGGAAGTTACCAAACTCCCGGGTTGTTGGGTTTTGTTTTGTTTTTTACCATTGGGTGGGGGGGCTACTGATTGGAAGTAGGAAAGTAACTGGGCACCTCATGATTTGGATTTTTTTTTTCCCTCGTGGGGGGTGAAGTGTTATAAATGCAAAGCATTTTTTGAGGAAGGGATCTTGTTTTCGTTCCAAACTTTCCAAGTCAAAGTGCTATACAGACTTTTTCTAACTAAAATGGTTTCAGAATCCCCTTTGGGTAACTTGGTTTGCTTATTTGCTGCCTCTCCCCACCCACCACCCCCCTTTTAAACAGGCTGGTTTCTTGGAATGATGTTTGAAGGTTTAAGCTTTTGCATTTGTAGGTTTCGCACAGAAATCATTTCTCATCTCAAACATGTTTTTTGAACCAACCAGTTGGAAAACTGCCCAAGCTCCAGCTTTGTGAGAGATTTATTTTAAATGAGCGATGTGCTTCCCAGGGGGTAGGAAACTCTGTAAATGGGAATTACATTCTTAATCATAATCTTTATAGGAAACGCTGATATTAAAACGTGTGGTATCTGTAATTGTATGCCTAGTAAGGTATCAATATGGAGATTTGTAAACCCTGGGAGCACATGGTAAGTTTTTGCTTTAACTCCCCTGTAAGTTTCAAACTTAGAAAGCTTAGTCCAGAAATGTAGAATGATACCAAGTCCCATAAATGTTGTGATTTGTGTGATCTAATGTACTGTTTTAGTTCTGCAGTGGGGTGGTAATGAGCAGTAGCATATTTAGTCAGTGATGTGTGTACTGGTTTGTTGGGCGGGATGCTTGCTTTCTAGGAAATTGCACTGCATTAAAACATCAGAGAAACTTTCCAAGCGCTCTCGTGAAAATGAACCTGCTTATGTTTTAACAGCCTACTTGTGCACTCTGTAGTGAGACCCACCCTATTAATTTGAGATTATGTTATATACTTCTGGCTCATAGTAAAAAGACTTTTCCCCCCTAAAATTAGATTTTTCACATCATGAATAATTTTATCTGATTCACTTACTTCACTGTGGTTTTTTGAATTGTTTCTATTAGGCGTTTTATTTTTCTGTGTGAGATAGCAAAAGGTTTTCCAGAAAAGTTGCTTTAGGAAGGAACTCTTAATTTAGAAGCCACAGTGCCTCCAGGTTAACAGATGAAGTGACTAGAAGTCCTGTTGTCATAGCAGTGTGTGCTCAAAGAACCTCTGGGGCCTATTGTTCAGGATGGCATGGTGTCAAGTAAGCATGTTGGCCCGCAGTTGTACCTGCAGCAGCCACCTTCCTTGCTACCGCGCACCGCCATAATTATAACAACATTCCAGACGTCAGTTTGATCCCTGATAGCATAGTGCGCCTCACTTTGGGTTGTTAACTGCAGGGTCAGCAGTTCAAATTTACCAGTTGCTAGTGAAGAAAGATGATGCTTTCTGCTCCCACAAGGACTCACAGCCTTGGAAACCCTGTAGCAGGATTGCTATGAGTCAGAACCGACTCCAAGGCACACAACAACCAGATATCAAATCTTCTCAGAGGATGTTTGTGGTGGTATTTGGTGCCGTGGAGTCAATTCTGGCTTACAGTGGCCCTGTGCACAACAATGAAACACTGCCTGGTCCTGCAGTATCCTCACAATTGCCATGCTGTTGGAGCCTATTGCTGCTACCCCTGTCAGTCCACCTGCAGGGATCTTCCTCTTTTTTGCTGATGCTCCACTTTTACCAAATATTTTATCCTCCTTCCTGACAGACTGATCTCCCTCCTAACATGTCCAAAGTTCAAGAGACAAAGTCTTGCCATCCTTACTTCCAGAAGCTTTCTGGCTGTACTTCTTTCGGGACAGATTTATTTCAGCATTCTTTGGGACCTTCAGTATTCTTCATCCACACCATAATACAAATGTATTAATTCTTCTATGGTCATCCTTATTCATTATCCAATCTTCACATGCATATGAGGCTATTGACAATACCATGGCATGGATCAGGCCACCTTAGTCCTCAGAGTTGCCGTGTTTGCCCTTAACTCTAAAGAGGTCTTGTGCAGCAGATTTGCCTAATGCAATACATTGTTTGATTTTTTGTTTTGTTTTGTTTTGTTTTTTGACTGCTGCTGTGATGCTTTTTTTAAAGTGATTTATTTTGCTTTATGTATTATTATGATGAACAAAGTATTATGATCTCCCCAAATCAGTGTTTACCTGTCGTCTTGGTGATTTCTACGCTTGTCACATTTACTGTCTTTGCTTGATTCTTGATGATTGACAGGTACCAGAATTCTTTTCATGATGCTTTTCTGTTTTGATGATGTCTAGGTGGATCTGTAAAGAAACCAGCAGACTAGGAGAGGAGGGAGGGGAAGACGCTAAGCCGTGAACGTGTGTGCACTCGAGAACCATGTCTGTGCGGGAGTCCTTTAACCCAGAAACTTACGAATTGGACAAGGGCTTTCGGCTAACCAGATTCACTGAACTGAAGGGCACAGGCTGCAAAGTGCCCCAAGATGTCTTACAGAAATTGCTGGAATCCTTACAAGAGAACCACTTCCAAGAAGATGAGCAGTTTCTGGGAGCAGTTATGCCGAGACTGGGTATGTCAGCCATTGTTGTCTACAGTCCAGTTACACCAATAACCAGACCTCTTCTGTGCGTGCGTGAGTGAGTGAGTGAGTGAGTGCAAGAGAGAGGATTCAAACAACTGCTATGCTAAGTATTGCCTTTGGTGGAAGAACTTGAAAAGTTAAGAAAAGTACTCAATGACAGTTTTTAAACTACTAAGTGTAACTGAGACAATTATATTACTGTCAAAACTTTATTATTTTACATAGAATTTTCTGGTTACTTTAGGATTAAGCAGAAACTCTTCCTGTACACCTCTCTCCTACTATTATCCCTAAAATGCTTCCATCCTCTTACTTGCTTTAGTGCTGTAGGCTTCATTGTGCTGTACTTTGAGGATAGCAATTGGTCTGGGAGGGAACTTGAGGGGCGCTTTGCCAGAAAAGCTCCATAAGTTTGGGGGTGGGGGTGGGGAGGAAACAAAGCTTCTCCACACACTGAAGGGGAATAGACTGGGCTGAATCTGTACTTGACCCCAGGACATTGTCTGGAATTGAGAACAATGTGTTTTGTTTATTTTCTTTACTATATTTTTGATGATATCATCAGGGGTTTTGTCTTTTCTCAATTACAAGGGGGCTTCCTTGTATGGAACTAATACGAAAGAAATTTTAGGCTTTTGAGAGACTGTTTTTATTAGTCTTTGCTGTTTATTAAGTATACAACACAAGACAATGATCATTTTGCCTTTAGAGAATATGATATTCTGGGAGTCTGGATATTCTTGATAAAGCTCTTTTATGTAAGATTTTTATTTCACTTAATTTTGCTTAAGATTTTGTTGTAAAGACCTGCCTAACAGCGTTGGTTGTAAGCCCAGAGTAGGCCTGTCTTCCCCAGTACATAGAGCAGATAAAAGCAGAGTCACTTGGGTTGGGAGGGAGGAAAGTACATTCTATTCTAGAGGCCAGCAGGACCCCAGAAACTGTTTGAATACAGTGCTCCTTGCTTAGCTGATGTCTAAGCTGTGGAGAAATAACACATGAATAAGTTGAATATAAGATGTCAGTGTGCTTGTCAAATAAGAATATACTGAGAAAGCACTTAGGTGAAAAGAAATGAAATTTAAACCTTGTGGATAAATAATTTTTGTTAACAAACTTAGCTCTGTTGAGCACCTGGGACATGTGGTTTGATAAGGGCTAGATTCTTTGTTCCTTCTAGCAGCCCCAGGAAATTTAGGAAGGTTCAGTAATCCATACCCTCTCACATATATGCTCAGGGATCTGGACTCTGTTAGACCCCGAGCAGTGCTTCTTCTTGTTGTTATGTAACGTCAAGTTGGTTCCAACTCTTAGCTACCCTGTATAGGGTTTCCGAGGAATGATGGGTAGGTTTGAACCACTGACCTTGTGGTTAGCAGTCCAGTACATGTCCTGTAGTGGCACACCAGAATAGTGTTTGGGACATGGTAATTGTTGTACCTTCTTTCCATTCTTCCACCCACACTGCTTGTCTTTTGGATTCTAAGGCCAAATGTGTTGAAGTAGAGAGGGCTATTTAAGCTGTAACTCCTACCAGTGGCAGAAAAAAGACAGCTGTCTGACAGCCGCGTACCCCTCCCAGAAAACACAGTTTTGGCATCCATGGCATTCCCTTGAGGTAGTAATAACCTAATAAGAGAAGTGGGCTTATCTTAATGACCAGAACCTTGCTCAGGAATCACATCCTGGCAGTCACTAGTTTTTTTTCGACTTGGAGCATGTAATTGAACTCTGCTGAGGCTCGGCTTCCTAATCTGTAAAATGAGAATAATATTTACAGTTAGAGATTATTGTATAAGTACCAGAATTAACTGTATCATTTGTACCTGTACCCACGGAATACACGTGTTTATAGATACAGATAGGCTTCTGTGTGGTATAAATGATTTACAGTCCACTGCTAGCCAGTTGGAGCCCATCCAATGGTGCTGTGGAAGAAAGGCCTGGTGACCTTCCCTAGAGATTATAGCCAGAAAAGCCCTCTGGAGAAGTTCTGTTCTGTGGCACTTTGGGTTGCCATGTTGGAATTGACAGCGATGCAATGGGTTTTTTTTATTTTATATTGTTGTTGTTGTTAAGTGCCGTCGAGTCGATTCCGACCCATAGCGACCCTGTATAGTGTTTCCGAGGAGCAGCTGGTGAGCTTGAACCACCAACCTTGCAGTTCAAACGGCTTTGCAGTCTGGCGCATTAACCCACAGCGCCCCACCTACATAGGTATATGTTATTTGTATATATACGTGTGTGTATTTTTAATTGTATTTTTTATAAGATAGTATTAATTGAAGGGTGAAATGTAATAGCTTTTAAATGTATGCTCACTAAGGAAATGTTCAAATACGTGTGTCTTAAAACATGGTACATGTGTTACCTGGTATTTAAGAGCTATGAGGTATTGATTGCTTTTGGAAGAGGGATGATATGGGCTGTTTTTCTTGATGGACAGTTTGTCTTCCTGAAAGCCTTCTAGGATTCCCCGTCACCACTGAGAATTAAACTTGAACTGCTCAGTTTGGTATGTGAAGCTGCCACCTCTTTACAGCATTATCCTATTTCCACTTGCCCCTTACCCGGACTGCCCCATCCTCTTTAGTTTGACACCCTAGTTTTTCAAGGCCCATGGGCCCCTCAGTTTCTCCATTCCTTGAAATTCAGTAGGTACCTTAGAAACCAGTCATGATAGACCAGCACTGTCCAAATGATGTGTTTGTAGTTTTAATTTTTAAATTTCTAGTAGTTTAAATGTACTTTAAATTTCTAGTAGTTACATTTAAAGAAAAACAGTATTGAACGAGGTGAAAGTTATTCTAATGCATAATTAACGTAAGACATTATTAATGCCCTTAAACCCTGCACTATAAGTGTTAAAATTTTGGTGTGTACTTTATGAGTTATGAACACATCTCACGTGCTTACATGCTGCACGTAGTGTGACGACCTATTGGATAGGTCAGCTGTAGACCCTCACTCTAATACACATGCTGTGGTGTGAGAATGTGGGTGATGAGAGCTGCTTTTCTGCCCTAAGAACATGCTCAAGAGTCATCATTAGGACGCTCTTTTTGTGAAAGCAGTTGCTAAATGGAACTTGCTCTAGGTATATAGAAATACACTGCTTTGCAAAGCAAATCTATTTCATCCAAATTTAAGAGTGCTCAAACTATACTGAAAGTGCCATGGACTACCAAAAGAACCAATAGATTTGTTTTGGAAGAAGTGCAGCCAGAGTGCTCCTTGGAGGCCAAGATGGCTAAGCTTCGTCTCTCCTACTTTGGACATA